GCGTTAATTTACTTCAATATATCGTCCTCGAAGCAAAGTTCAGTTTATTACGTTAAAAATTTTTAATTTGAGAAAACCGATTTTACTTAAAAGTAGATAAATAATGAAGAGAATAAGTACCTATAATATAATAAATAATTACTTAAGTATTTTTTATTGATGGAGCAATGTGTTTATATAATATTTGTATGTATATGTATATTTAGTCCTTCGATAGTAATTTTATCAGTTCCGTTCGCGACGCATGCACAGTGGTAGTCTAATTAGGGTTTTCATGTAGTTGGATAGACAGGGTTAAGGCTAACCCCATCGGAGCGGCTGTCCAACAGGCCGGAAGTTGTGCTTTTCCGCGCTCACCACGTCGGCGGAACTGATCGACTCGAATGGTAGAATACTTCTACCAGGATGTCGTATCGAAGTTCTCTGTTTGACTACGCTATTGAAGGGACGCATTCGGGCAAATATGGAAAAACCCCTTTTTTCCTGCGTCCCGACCCTTTCGGACGAATCTTCTTCATCTGCAACAAAAGATACATTACGATAACCTCGTTTGAAGCCCTTTGGAGGAAAGGTTGTTTATTGGAAATCAGAAATGTGATTTACCTACAAACAGCTAGCTAGAGAGAGTCGTGTAAAAAATTCCTTTTAAAATAATGTATTCAAATACAAATAAAAACACTCTGAATAGGGTGAGTAGGTATCTATTTCATATTCATATTTAATAAATATAAATTCAAATATTCTTTCATACACATTCTAGTGAAAAAGAAATCAATTTTGTGTAGGTAAACAAGTTTTGAAACTGTATAGTTACTATGTTGACCTTGTGATTTTAGATCTGAAATTTTAGAACAGTTTCTATCTAAAATCAGGTTAGGTTAGGTTAGGTTAGGTTATTAGTTAATTTAATTAAGTAACCTTTTTCAGCTGATTGAAACAAAGAAGCCTTTGATGTTGTAATTTTTGTTCTAAGCACTTGTAGCGGAATTCATTTATACGAAGGCAGAATTATTCTTGTTATGACACGACCCTAGCGCCAGACTGGATTCCCCCCTTATTTTTGGACAACTATTAATAGGTTTAACCTGTAAACTCTGTTCTATATCCTTTACTCCTTCAGTTTATGTTACCTGAAGTTCCCGTCCTAATAATTAACATCTTTTTATCGAAAACCACAATTAAACTGCATCTAACTACAGTATGTGAGAGACAACAGCCTTTAAACAAATATTTGTGAATAATTTTTTGAAAATAGTTTTTGTTGATTCGATTTATAATATTCTGTTCAAATATTACTGATTTATATAAATAAGTTTAAGAAGGAACGCTTCTGTCTCACTTTGAGTGAATAAAGAAAATTTAGTTTTATATATGGACAGTCGAACTCGGCTATAACGAACGCTTGGGTTTAACAAACAAAATTTAAACAACAAAATAATTTTTTTTTAGTACATCTCCCTTCAGCACGTCTTATTCATACTTGGACATAATGAACGATCGGCTTTAGCGAACGCCTTTGAACGAGAAATTTCTTGTAAAATAACAGTTTCGTGTTTATTTAATGCTTCTACTTTTTTTGTTGACCCACCCAGCCGCTTTCCTTGTTTTATGGTGCAAATTAAAAAGTTTTGAATCAAATTAGAAAAAATGGATATAAATTTGTCATGCTGATTTTCCCGAACCTTCTCCCATTCATTCTGTATCTTAATGTTCTAAGGCGTTTCACATTTCATCATATTTTCGTTTTAAAAATAATGGGTAATTGGATTCTACTAACTTACCTCGTTCTTCATCTATATTGGAGCTGAACAGTTGCCTTAACAAGTTTTTTAACCGTGGTGGAATATTTATAGTGTCTGATGATTGCCAACGCTTTTCTTCGGACTTTTCTAAGGGTTTACCGTTTGTTATCAATGACATGTTAACCAGGATGATGAAAATAAAAATTCGCCACATCTGGAACAAACAGAATACTGGAATCAATCTACGATCCTTTTCAATGACCAAATACAAATAAAATAAAACAAATTATGTCGTCAATCATCATTAATTTATTCATTTCATGAATCCCTTGACAAAAATTTTCAGTCTGTCTCCAGTCTTCCAGAGTCTTTCAGCGTCTCTGAAAGCGTCTCTCACAGTCTTTCAGTTATTGCCTAGGTGTTTTTATGGATCTCTCACAGCCTCTGTATGAGAGACCCAAACGATAAAATTGTTAATTCAGAGATCCGAATTTCTCACAGAGAGACTGAGTGAATAAAACTGACAAATCGAGAGACTCGAGTCTCTCGTACAAAGACTGGGATCTCTGAAATATGTTGAACTTAGAAAATTTTAACCATGTCTATCGAGACACCACTTATTGAGAGATTCGAGTCTCTCGTTCAGAGACTGGATACGAAATGAGGATCTCTCTATGAGAGATTCGAGTCTCTCGTTCAGAGATGCTAAACAGTTTTTTTTTGACAGTCTCTCTCAGCGACACCATAGAGACTCGATGAGAGACGGAGACTCGAGTCTCGCTTTCGGAGACTCTGAGAGACTGAACATTTTTATCTCGGGTACTTAAAAGTCTGTAAATAAACATACCTATGTGTTTAGGGGTTGTAATGATTTGCAATTTTTTTTGTTTAACTTATTTTCTCGAAGACCACCTCTTACAGAGAAAATTGGTCAAGAATTAACAAATTTTAATCACAATAAATCGTTTGTAGGGGGGGGGTATTCTTATGACGTAATATTTGTTAGGGGTCACTGAAACTGTGACTTAGCGTAACGAAGGGGTAGGGAGCGCTCCGAAAAGATGAAATTTTGAGTAACGTATTTTATGGACAACTCCTCATAGCTATTATTATGCCGATTGTAATTTTATTCAGTCAGTGGGTAATTTATTGAAACCAAACTCGGATCGCGATGTGAGATTTATGTATTATTTCCCATCAGCACGCAGTTGGCAGTATCGGCAATTTAGCGACGAAATCAAGGTTGTTCCGTACAAAGATGATGTAATATCAATCAACAGGCAACAGGTACATATATTGCCTACCAAAAATTGGACACGCACTTTACGTGATCAACAAGTCAAGTCGAATGACTCCGCGGGCATTTCAAATGCGTCACCTGATATACCAATCGTTCCATTATTTTTAAAGGATAGAAAAGGTAGTCCAAAATGTTGATTTTATGATTTTGTTTACAATGCTCCGAATCAATATCCATAAGTACTTGGTGTTTCGTAAAGGCGTAGGCATCTAAACCTATATCTATACATAGATAATACATTATTCTGAACTAATCTTCGTATTTTCCAAAACTAGAACATCCCACATCTACATTAAAAAATTGAAATTCATCAATATTATCACTGATACAAGGACACAAAGAACATCAGATTTTATGAGCTTTGTTTATTATAACCGAACACGTAGAATATCATATTTAGTCGTTAAGTGTGATGTAAAATAAGTTCTATAATAAATATGTGTAGAGGTGTATAGAGGTGTATATATTACTAAGTATCTAA